TTGTTTGGAGAGGATGCTGTGGAACCAATTCTATATGCACTAAGTATCAGTGGCACAATATCTTCATCTGGACTCAGTATTTCTGTAAGTCAGTGTTCCATAAAAGTTATGAGTTCCATGCTTCCTTCCTCCTTTTCCTCCAGTCCTCAAAACTTTAGTGAGTTTTCTTTTAATTAGTTTCTATCATCAAGATTTTATCTGTTGCTCAGTCATCTTTCTTCTGTAAGTATTGGATCTCTTCTTGAGCAGCTACGTCCATTTTCATAGCTATGTTAGCTGTTCACGTCACTGGTAGTGATGTTTTCCAGTTGTTCCCCTATTGGTTTTAATCTTGCATCAATATGGTCCAATATATCTGGCGTCAGTGAGGATAAAATGTTGATTAGTTTGTCATTTTACGACTGTATCACTTTTTCATCTATGTTTTCTGTCTTGGTGGCCATTTTGTTTTGCTGAGGAGTCTTTGTAGAGGTTTGTGGAGCCGCTTCCATTTTGTTCAAAAAAGACTTTAAGTCAGTAGTTTTCAAGTTTTTTATTATTTTCTTCAGTCCGCCAGATTTTTTTCATATCTGTTTAGCCTTTAAGTTGTGATTTTGAGAGCAGTTATTGCTGTTATCGATGGTGGAAAACAAGGAGAACTAGCACCAAGCGTCTGCCATACTTGCCAGGCGATGCCACGCCCCAGGACAGAATATTAGGGGATTATGGACAGAGTTTAGAACAAAATATTTACACAACATTACAAAAATGCTACAAACAGCTGTTTTCCCCACAACATTTCACAGAAATAATAAGTTAGAAGGAGCCTAATAACCCCCTGCACAATGCAGAATAATCTAAAGCATCCCTAACAAATGTCATCTAGCCTTTTCTTAACTTCTTTCTATTGGGTTACTAAAACAATCAGTAAAATTCTACTGATGTAATTTAATGGGACAACAGTTAAAACAGCAGTAAGTCACAGCAAGTGGTTGTTGGCAGGGGTATGTTCCTGCATAGAGATCAGTGCTTCAGTTATTCAATCAGTCGACCAAACAGGTAGTTCAGTTGCCTCTGCAGAAACACCTTTGGCTATCCCTATCTGTACAAAAAAGCTTCCCGCTTTTGCACTGTATTATGTTTGAAACACCAGATGGCTTTTCCTCAGTATTCTATGTACTCTGAATACTCAAAGTATTATCTAAAATCTAAGTACTGTTGTTTTAAAGGGTAATCAAAATTGGAAGGAAAACCTATGACCAGTGTTACCATTAGGCAATGTGAAGCAGTCAACTTTGAAAAACTTCTAGTACTATTAAAAGGCATCACATTATTTAATTTAATTATGTCTAAACCCCAGGGTGGGTATTGTTTGCATCAAGCAACAAAATGTCTTGGGCCAACTCTGATTATACAGATAGGCACATTTTTTAGCAGCTCAAAATTTGCTAAGTCTAGAAACTCCGCCCCCCTTCCCCAGGACTTTCTGTATAAGCTGAGTCTTCACCTTCCTAACACGAGTTACTTCACCAAACATTAATGTTGTTGGTGAGAGGAAGGTAGGGAATATTTTGTTTCTTTTAATGGTTCCTTATCCTTGTGTTGAATATATCCTCATGAAAAGACCAGGGAAAGTATAGTGAACAGCTCTACTCCCTGGCTAATCCAGCTCCTTCTTCCTCTCCAGTTGCTGGCTCTGTAGTAGTAATCCTGTTCAAAGATAATCTTTGTCCCAGTAATTCTTCTACTATCCTGTTCATTTCATACAGTGATTAATTTGACTAAAAGCCTCAGCTCATATACTGAACTGGAAAGTCCACAATTTCCCCACACCTTTTGTTACAGAATGGTGGTGCAGTTTATACTACAAACTGATTTCTCACTGTTTACACACGAGTTCCTGGTTCCCTCACTCAACTGGTTTGCACAGAAATCTTGCACTGTCTCTCTTTCCACCATCTTTCTTTGGTGTAGTAGTGGTTCAGAGGGGCAGACTCTAATTTGGAGAGCTAGGTTTGATTCCCAACTCCAGCTGGGTGACCTTGGGTCAGTCACAGTTCTCACAGAGCTGTTCTCTCAAGAGCAGCTCTCTCAGAGCTCTCTCATTCCCACCTACCTCACAGGGTGTCTGTTGTGGGGAAGGGAAGAGAAAGGAGATTGTAAACTGCTCTGAGACTCTTTCAAGTAGTGAAGGGCGGGGTATAAATCCAATCTCCTCTTCTCTAATATCCACCCACCACACCCCCATATGAAGCATCCCAACTGAATACAAGGTTCTGGAAAAGCGATTTTCCATCAAGGAAATATTTGCTTTATTATGCACCTTTAAAAGACAACAATTGGAAAGCATTTGAATGCGAAAAAGGAGAGGGCATATTTTATATTTACTAGACTGTTAGCAAACTTAAAAGCAACAAGCCAAACATAAAATACTAAGCATAGAAAATAAAAAGCCATGCTTAGGTAAACAAGAATGATGAATCATCTCCTTTTGAGATGAGCTGAATCTTGCTGCAACAATGCTCTAGAGCTTACACCTATTATCATCACTTCTTAACCACTGAAAATTGAAAGAGAGCTTTGTCTTTCTAATATGCTAGACTGGACAGATCCAGTTCCACAATTGGAGCAAGCTGTCTAAGAAGATCAGCACTATAGTTCTAATTTACTGTAAAACTGCTGTCTATAAGGTTTAGCACTGTTCTGTAGAGCAGAACTTCATAAACATTTCCCTAAGGCCCAGCCAACCTAGCAGTTCGAAAGCAAGAAATTGCAAGTAGATAAATAGGTACCACTTCGGTGGGAAGGTAACAGCGTTCCGTGCGCCTTGGTGTTTAGTCATGCCGGCCACATGACCACGGAAACGTCTTCGGACAGCGCTGGCTCTTCGGCTTTGAAACGGAGATGAGCACCGCAACCCTAGAGTCGGATTCGACTGGCTTTCGAGCAAGGGAACCTTTACCTTTACTTTAAGGCCCAGCTCCTATGTTACCCTAGTACAACAGTGACTATTTGAAAGTGGAATGATATGAACACAGTGTTGCATGGAAAGCTCTTTGAAAGAAACAACATCCTAAAAAGGAGGACTGTGTTGTGAAGCTGAAACCACCACTTCACTGTGGCACCCGTGGTCACCATGGCACCTGCTGACACCTTTCTAGGCACCTTTCCAGGCAAACAGGTTTTTGCAAATTACTGGGGCCAGGTGGGGCTTTGTCTAGCTGGGCTTCTGGTTGGCTCTGGAGTTTTAAGAAAATTGCTTCAGCAACAGCTGTTACCCCAGCACAAAGATCTTTACTGAGTGATGGAAAGTAAGTGGTGTATAAACAAGAAGAGACTTTAAAACCGTATGATTGTTTAAAAAGGCATCCTGTTAAGCAGACTTCTGCCGGATATGTTGAAGAGTTACTACCGGTATTAGAGTTATGCATGCCCTCAGCTCCTTGACTTTTTATGGTTAGCTTCATCTCCTGCAGCATCCATTTTGTGGCTGTACCCACAATACCCTTAGAATCCCAAAGGTGCCCACAGCCTCAAAAAGGCTGGGGACCCTTGCATCAGAATAATACCTGAAGCAGCTTCATACATACCATTTCTCATTGAAGTTTATTGCTGAGTTTACTACTCTATAATTCACACTTTGACCAGTGTTTATTTGGCATTAAATTATTGCCAGAAGATAATGCTGTTTTTCTGCCTTTTGCTTGACAATATATAACTTCTTTTGTCCTCCTAAGCAGAACTAGTTGGAGAAAGTGTCCTCAAAAACAGTATCATCCATACGCCTTCACACAATTCAGAGAAATACAAGGGGGGGGACCTGCGATACTCGCGGTAGAGGGGGACCTCCACACCTATGAGGAAGAGGAGGAAGCAGCAGGAGGAGGTAAGTTCCCCCCCTATCCCGCCGGTTCCCCGTCTCCTCCACCCCCTGGCTCGATCTTCCCCTCCCCCTGCCCTGGAGCGCACCCCCCCTCCAGAGTCCAGGTCTACCCACCCCTTTCCACTGCATGGGTAGACCTGGCCTCCGGAGTCCAGGTCTACCCACCCCTTCCCACTACATTGGTAGACCTGGCCTCCGGAGTCCAGGTCTACCCACTCCTTCCCATTGCATTGGTACACCTGGCCTCCGGAGTCCAGGTCTACCCACCGCTTCCCACTGCATTGGTAGACCTGGCCTCCGGAGTCCAGGTCTACCCACTCCTTCCCATTGCATTGGTACACCTGGCCTCCGGAGTCCAGGTCTACCCACCGCTTCCCACTGCATTGGTAGACCTGGCCTCCGGAGGCCAGGTCTACCCACCCCTTCCCTTTGCATGGGTAGACCTGGCCTCCGGAGGAGTCCAGGTCTACTCACTCCTTCGTATTGCATGGGTAGACATGGCCTCCAGAGGCCAGGTCTACTCACCCCTTCCCCGCCCCTTCCCCTTCTCCCCTTCCAAGTGGCGGCGCCGCCCTGCCCCTTGCCTTCCAAGTGGTGGCGGCGGGTTCGTAGAGCTTGCACTTTCGGGGGGATTTAAACATCCCCCCGATATTTTTTTTAGTTTTGCGATTTTTGTGCACCCCTGGGGACTGCCCCAAGAGTGCACAAACCTCCCCCTGCCCCCCCAGGTGGCCCTGGAGCGCGGATTTATCAATCCGCACTCACGGGGCCACTTGACTATTAGATATATAGATGGGCGGGGAAAAAAATCACATCTGGGATATGGGGTACAATGCACAACTGAACAGCAGTGATTTGTGCCCCATTAAAGTGTTGATGCCAATAGTACAGAAGTACTTTATCATTAACGTTAATGTGGGGTGAACTACTGTGTGAAGAGATAGGTGTGAACATGCACATAATTGAACAGGGGCCGTGATAATTGAGACCTACAAAGAATAGTCTTTAATTAATTAAAAATATTTAGCCCATTTCTCCATATCATATGGTGGTGGTACAATTAATACCTTTTTAAAAGTTCTACCAGCTCTTAACAGTTCAGCAGTGATGTTTTTGATCATCATAATATTTGACTCACCTTGAGGGCATTGTAGGTTCATTCTTAGATAACTGTGTCAAACCAGAACACTCAGATTCCTATGAATACATAAAATGTTGTATTACCACTTGAAAATCACATTTAAAAATTCACAATTTTTTTTCTTCAAAGGAAAATTTAAGTCAAGAGGGCATAGGAATTTTCATTCTCAATGTAAATACAGTTACTTCCCCATTGGAGAATTCATACTATTGTACATAGCACTTAATACTTGCAAAGGACTTTAAGGAATTGGCCACAGTTATCCATGCACTGACCATAATTAGTAATTACAGACTACTATAATGCTCTTTGTGGTACTAACTTTGGATGCTTCAAGTAGCACAAAATATGACAGTGAAATTAATAGCCAGTATTGGCTAACTTGGAATATATCTCACTAGTTCTTAAAATAACTAATTGGCTGCCAATTCCAGATGCAATTCAGGGTGTTTGTTATTACCTTTAAAGCCCTATATGATCTGGAACTAAGGTAACTAAAGTATTGCCTGTCCCATCGAACAGGGCTCCTTAAGGACTCCCTTTCCCAACTGTATATATTGTGTGGTGCTTGATGAGTTTTCAGTGCCAGGGACGGGATTTCATTTTTGTCTTGGCCTTTGATGATTATAATACAAATGTTTAAATTCTCTAATTTACCCTTACAAAAAAAAATAGGAGGCAGGTTACTATTACTTTAGCAGACAGGGAACCAAGACAGTGAACTGCCACAGGACAATGGCCTGGTTGCATAGTTGTGTCTTGAACCCTCTCATTCCCACAATCCAAGGAAACAAATGGAATCTGTATAGCAGCAGTGCTTGGTAAGCTGCTCTCAGAATCTTTTTAAAAGGTTACTAGAACTTTGAATGAGATGGGGCAAACATTTCAAAATATTATTTTTCTCAGGAGAAGGATATATGTGGAAAGTCTATTGACTGCTGCTTAGGGGGTCCAACATGTCTCAAGAAAATCTACTGTCAAACTCTTCCCTGTAGTACAAATGACTAGTGTTTCCATCCCTCTAGAGAAGAGAAATAAGATAGATTTTCAAATGGGTGAATGGAAAATTCATTTAATTCATGCTAGAAAATGTACTTCGTAGAGGTTTGAAAATTAATGTAAATAATTGTAAGCACTAAAAAAACATAGAAAACTGCAAATGATAGAACTCATTAATGTGCTTTCTGGCACAGAGAACTAATTTGTTCCATTGCTCTCAAACTGATTGCTAACACATTCAATTTCTCCCCCTGAATTAGAAGTAGAGGCATACATTGCTCTTACACCAGAAATACTTTACTTTTAGACACTCTAGGAAACCAGGGGGCAGCCTTCTCAAACAGCAGCGGCTCTGTGGCTGAATGAGCTAGCCATACACGATGAGAGAGATGGCAGAATTACATTATGTATTAGAAAGATAAGAGGCCAGAGCTGTTCTGTAAAACATGAAGAGATACAAACAGGTACCCTGATTGCAGGAGGCAGTTTTGAACTCCAAAAGCCTTAATTTTTTGTTGTGCCACATTAGCAATTCTCACACAGCAGCACATTATTGTATCACAGTGCATAGTTTGCAAATCTAGCATACCAAGGCTGCTCAAGAAAATGAATCCAAATAGCTTAGAGCTGTGATTTAAAAATATATGTTTAAATATTATACCCAATGTACAGTTTATAATATCAAGTTGATTGGCACAGTCATAAGACAATCGAAAACCAAAAAGAACTGTGACGATGTGACGTTAATAAATTTCTTTAAGAATCAAAATTATCCAAAGAGCGAACAATATAGTAGAAAATATACAGAATAATAGAAAATGTGACGGTGGTCTCCGGAATGCCTTGCCGTTTCGATAGTTGATCTTCTTCCGAACAAAGATGTGAGACCTTATCAAATATAACAACATAAATTTTGTAAAACTTATGACTCTATATGGATAATTCCAATACAAATATTAATAAAATTAGTATGAAATCTTACATATACTGTCTCTCAACAATTCATCTCCTCTGGTGACGTATCAAAGATTCATAGATATCAATGATGATTTTCTATAAAATGCAACAAACACTATTACAATTTCCTATTTGCAAGGCATTCCGGAGACTACCGTCACATTTCCTATTATTCTGTATATTTTCTACTATATTGTTCACTCTTTGTATAGTTTTGATTCTTAAAGAAATGTATTAGCGCCACATCGTCACAGTTCTTTTTGGTTTTAGATTGATTAAATATTACACCCTACATCAGCTTTAATTTTCTTTAATCTTTAAATAAATGTACCACCTTTTTTGGTGCTTTGATATTATTGGGCTTTTCAGTTGATATACTGCATGTGTTCCCAATAGGCTTCTCGGCAGGAAGTGGTGGAGGACTTTCTGAAACTTCATTTAAAGCTGAAAAAATAGTAATTTGTAAATATCACAATGTATATTGCAGAGGTAGTAAAGTATCAATGGATATTATTGATCAAATAAAATTGCATCACATCTTGGCAAGCACAGATTCTTTATCTTGATCAGGCTCATCTATAATCAGGAACATCAACGAAAGAACAGTGAAATAAAGGCAAAAAGTCAAGCATGAAAGCTTTGGACCTCTTCACTAAGGTTACACCGGAAAATATGAATTATGTCGGTCTTTCTGACACATGTTGGAGTGGGCCAGAATTCTTATGGTAGTGCTAGTCTAAATTTCCTGTTTCTGGATCTGGATTATTAGTCAGTTTTGTTTAAAATTGTTTTTTGCAAACAAGTTGTATTTTCCTTAAGTCAACCTGAATATTATTGAATGCAGTGTTATTTAAAAGGCATTCTAGAATACCCAGATAATGGAAGCCACATTCTAATGGAGTATATTTGCATGTCCCTAAGGAGCTGTTTACTATATGGAATGTCATCATGAGAGAACGCATCTTAAAATCTTTCTTCACTGGAGATCTAGGTAGAGAACTCATAGGAAGAATAATTCATAAAAGAACAAAGACAATGATTTTATGAACAAATCTTTGTTGTAGCTATAAATTTGAGAGCAAGGGATTATAAAACCTCAAAATTTCATAATTTTTTCTCTCTTAGTGCATACTTGTGATTTTAAAAAGAACATCTGAGGTTTAGTTAAGCACAGTTTTTAGTTCTTGACACAGTTACAGCAGTTTGACTTCTTTTAGACAATCAATACTGCAGACTTCTAGAAGTAACATTTTATTCTCTTTTAAACTTGAAAAAGGAGGGAAACCACTAAATACAAGGCCATCTAGGGAAACCGAATATGAGCCTGTAGCTAATTTACGTAATCTAATTGAAAATTATGTAAATTTATGTGCATAAATGAGGTGACACACATGTCTTGTATCCAGCTGGCATGATCAAGAACCTGATGACAGTCCCAGAAGTCGCAAACCATGATACATAGTCATGTTACTTTATATGGATTATACCATGTTTTTGCAATCTGAAGTCTGGGAACCCCTGGTAGTCCTCAAGGGTGCTCCAGAGGGTCCACAAGTTCTTTATAAAGACAGAAGGTAAAATCCTCTCCTTTTCCTTTTCCCCCTTTAATGATACAGCTCTTTGGAGCACAGCCGGAAGCCTAATCACACAGAGAGAAGGGGTGGTGGTGGCAGGGAGCTCACTCCAGTCACAAAAGTTTTTAAATCTTAAACTGGGTTGCTAAAAGGTAGGATGCCAGTGACCTGGTGATATTTGGGTCCTTATCTCATAAAAGAAAAGAAAAGTTCTGATTAATATTTGTGAGCTCATTCTTCTCAAGTATCAGGGTAATCCATCTCTGTCTCTCTCCTCACTGAATTTGGGACATTTGATAAACTCCTCTCTATCATCCAGCAAATGTGAAAACAGAGCCTTACTCAGTGTTCTAGAAGGGGGGCAGGGACTCTCCACCTCAAGGGGAGAGGACAGAATTGGCTTCTCCCTCAAGTTCACTGAGTTGTTATTCCTCTCAGTGTCCATTCAACAGCCAGGAGGAAAGGCCCTCTTGTTCTTCACACGTGCACATTTCCTGCAGGTCTTCCAAAATGCAGAGAAACAAATGACAGCTCTACAGGAGCTTGAGCCTCAGCAGGTGTAATCCTGTGTCCCATCTGAAGCTCCCGGACCATAGGCTGATGTCCTCTGCTCTAACTGGCTAAGCAGTATCAAGAAACTAAGGTCCTAGTGGTTCCTTCTGGTATAAACTGAACTGGTTGTCATTCTGTTTTCTAATGCTAAGGATTTCTGCATTCACAGACAATAACAGCCAAAGATTACTTTCAACAGCATTACTGAAAGTACAGGTTGTATGTGATGCTTTTCCATTTCAATGAGCAGCTCATTGTTTTTCCAGGTCCTTTCCCAAGCTGCTCAATCCAAAACTTTCTTATTGGTTGATAAAGTTTGCAGTCTCCGGTGCAAAGCCTCTTCCAGTCAAGAAGTGAGCTCAATTAGAAAATGGGTCAGCCCCTATATAATCAAATACCCACCAAGTCCTGATTTTGCAGGCTATGTGGGGGTGGAAAATGCTGTCAGATTGCACCTGACTAATGGCAGCCATAGGGTTTTCAAGGCAAGAGACGTTCAGAAGTGGTTTGCCACTCCCTGCCTCTGTGTAGTGAGCCTGGAATTCCTTGGTGGTCTCCCATCCAAGTACTAACCAGGGCCAACCCTGCTTAGCTTCTGAGATCTATATTATTATTATTATTATCATCGTCATCATCAATTTATATCCCGCCTTTCTTGCACAGGCAGGCTCTTGGTCCATCCAAGTCAGGCTACATAAAATCAAAACATTTTTGCTCTTAAACTTGCTTTTAAAGTGTAGCTGATAAGTTCCTCACTAATTGTTTTGATGATATGGGAGGACATAACAATTCACGGGGTACACATAGCTTGTTATACATATTTTGAAAAGTGGCTCACCAGCATGTGATGCCTATCAACAAGAAAGGAAGAGAAAAAGGTTGGAAGAGGGTCTGTGATTTTTTTTAAAAAATTAACATGGGGATCCTTGGGTTGCTGAAGTTTCAGAACCACTGGATTATACTCCCTACACATTGGGTGAGATCCTCTATGTTGTTCTGCTCAGGCAAGCCAAACTTCTGCTTGTGTGAGAATCCTGCTATTTCACCCCCTGCAACACTTCCTGGTGTCCTGAGGGTGACACAACTCTCAGCAGTGGGATTCTGGTGAGCACCATAGGGTACTGCAGGAAAGGGGGAGGTGAGAAAGATCCATTCCATGTATGCTACTGTTCTTGGGGTACACAGAATCCAACCAATGTATCTAATTATCAACCTGGCCCCATCTGTGGATACTTAGATCTGGAGACTGGAATCATGAACAAACCAGCCAGATCCTTCTACCTGAGAAAAGCCCCAGGTTTGCAGACAAATCTGGAAAAAAATACATTGGAGGGGATTAAACCCTGCAAACAATAGAAGCAGTGTCTGAAACTTTAACAAGTGAATGCCCTCTCAGTGAAGATAAAAGTTAGGCTGGTTGATGGATGTGCAGGAAGGACAGATGGAAACAAGGAAGGGTGAAGATATGTGGCCTGCAACAAGAAGAAAGAGAAGAGTGTGGAGAGGTGGATATAGGAGAAAGAGATGCACTCTGCAAATCCTTGCAGGTTTCCCACTGTGCAAGTGGGCCCTGCAGACAGCACTGCACAACTGGGCCATAGTTTTCCCAAGCAGAGGCTGCCAAAGGGTAGAGGAAGGATAAAAAACTGTAGACAGAAGGACATATAAAGGTAGGTTGGCTGCTGGGTGGGAAGGAGAGGAGAAAACAGGAAAAGGGAGAGGCTACAGTGGCTTTCAGGGAAGGATTAATATCAAAAAAAGTAGCAGAGCAGCTTTTAAACTAATCCCAGGGGCAAAGCCAACAGGAGCTGGGGAGCCTCTGGTTCAGAACAAGTCAGTCTAAAGGGATGAGTATGTAAACACTCGGGGTAATATCGATAGGTGCATAATAGAATTTAGGAGTGATGGCAGGATGGCAACTGAGGGCCATGTGTGGCAACTAAGGGGCTGAGGGAGATGAAGGTTACTGGAGAGGGAAACATATAACAGGTGCCTGTATGTCAATGCTAGAAGTCTCTGAGCCAAGACAGGGAAGCTGGAGTGCTTGGTGTTCAAAGGCAATTTAGATACAGTAGGTATCTTAGAAACATGGTGGAATGGGGAAAATCTATGGTATACAGTCATTCCTGGATATAAGCTTTATAGGCAGAACAGGAAAGGATGAGTTGGGGAGGTGTTGTTTTGTATACTAAAGAGGGCATAGAAGCAAATAAGTTAGAAAACATCAGGGGAATTAACTCCCCAACAGAAGTGATATGGGTGAAAATACTGGGCCCAAATGGTTACTTAAAGGCTGACCTTGAAATGGAGCAGGAAATAAAGGAGGTGACTAAAACAGATAATGTTATTATACTGGAAGATTTTAACTACCCCCACATTGACTGGGTAAACATGTGCTCGAGTCATGCTGTAGAAATGAGATTCCTAGACATCATAAATGATTATACACTGGAACAGTTGGTCACAGAGCCAACCAGAGGGATAGTGATCTTAGACTTGGTTCTGAGTGGGTCCCAAGAGCTGATGAGAGATTTAGAGATTCTTACACCACTTGGGAACAATGACTATAATGCTATTAAGTTCAGCATTCAGGTCAATGGAAAGTTACCCCTAAAGTCCAAAACTGTCACATTTGATTTCAAAAAACGGAACTTTTCAAAAATGAAGGAAATAGTAAAAAGGAAGCTGGAAGGGAAATATAAGAGAATCAAATCCCTAGATGATGCTTGGAAGCAGAGGTCATTTCGGGGGGGATCGCAGTTCCCCCGGGTGAGGTATGGGGGCGGGGCACATGACGAAGCCCCGCCCCCTGCTTCCGGCTGCCCCGCTTCCAGCCCTCATTCAGCCAGGAGGAAGCAGGAGAAGAGGGAGGGTAAGTTGCTTCCTCCCTGCCTCTCCCCACTCCTGCCTGCCTGGGGCCAGGGAGGGCCTTCGCGGGGCTTCCTTGCACTCCCACCGGCCTTGCAGGTCCACCACCAGGCCCCTCATGGGGCTCGGCAGTGGAGCTGCAAGGTCGCCGCCCGTGGCCGGAATGAGTTATGCTAATGAGTTCCCCTAGCTCTTTTTCTACGAAATGACCCCTGCTTGGAAGCTATTTAAAACCACACTAATTGAAGCCCAAATAGAATGCATTGCACAGGTTAGGAAAGGCACTGCTAAGTCTAAAAGAAGGCCGACATGGTTAGCAAGTCAAGTCAAGGAAGCTATAAAAAGTAAAGAGGCTTCTTTTAAAAAGCTGAAAGTCTGCTGCAATGAACAGGAGGGACCTTGGGCTCTTGAAGAAGGAATGTAAGTCAATAATTAGGCATGCAAAAAGAG